CTTTGCTTCTTTGATGCTTACCAAAATCAAGAAGCTAGTGTTACGCAGAAAGTAAACTGGTATCTGGTAAGTGTCAAAAGTGACAAAAGGATGTATGACTGCAAGGTATTTGGAAGAACTCCCACAAATACTTACCAAATGAGGTCATGTTCCCTGACAAAGTGGCTTGAAGAGAAAAGTGAGAAACATAGAAAAGTAAGTCTTCAGAAAGCTTGAAAACCTTTCCACAAATCCACATCTGAAAGTGCATGTTCATTTTCTCCTGCCCCTATCCCCTGCCTTCATGCCTATGCACATATGCAGACATATATGTGCACACATGCTTGCACATGCAAATACAAAGATATTCAACTTCATTCTAAGTGTCACCGAATCATTGGAGGGTTGTAAGAAGACATGATACAATTTGCATTTTTAAAAGGTCACTCTGACTTCTTTGTGAAGAATATACTACAAGAGGGCCAAAGTATATTAGGATGGTAGCAGTGAAAGTAAGATGTGTTAGATTTTTTTATTATATTTTGCATGCAAACAGATGAATTGTGGCGAGTGGTGAATTGGGGAGAAGCCACGTTGCAAGGAGAATGGTCATGAGTTTAACTTTGGACATGTTAAGTTGAGATGTTCAATAGGGCTTTGGATGTATTAATCTACAGATAAGGAAAGTAATAGGTTGCAGTGATAGAATTTTATGTATATAGGTGATTTTCCTGGCAATGGAAGAAAGTGTAGGTCAGCGCTTTTCAATCCTGCTGTACCTGTAGGAAAAAAATAACAAGAGTGTCCACACTCAAGTGCAAACTAATTGAATAAAAATACCAGGGACGGAACTAGGCAATGGTGATTTTTTTCAAAGCTCTTAGTTGATTCTGATGTACAGTGAAGGTTGGGAAACACGGCTGAAGAGAGAGAAGAGGACTAAAGCCTGGACATGTACAAAGGAAAAATAAATGGTGAACATACTGAGATTAAATCACTGATGCCTTCATCACTTAGACATTTAATCAAGAGCATTTCTGTAGTGATGAAAGTAACTGATCTTGAGATCACAAGTGATGACAGATCAAAAGAGCTTATAATATAAGGCTGTCATCATTATTTATACAGTACAAGCCTTAATACAGTTTCCATATAGTTAAGCATGAATAATATTAATAGCTATTATTCAGAAACCTGTGGAATTTTTAAAACATATTTTGGACTATTTTCTGCTTTCTAAAACTTCCAAAAATTAAGACTAATTAAGTAATGGTTTTATACAATTAAATTATAATTGAATTCATAATGTTATTTGTTTTGTCATGATCTATTAATCATCAAACATTAGTTGCATAGCATTTTGCTATACATAGCCTTCTCAACTACCAATATTTCTTCGTGTAATTATTTGGTAAATGTAGCTAATTTTCTGACTTAGATAATAAATTAATTTAAAAATATTCTATGTGCATATGCAAGATTGTAGAAAATTATTAGCAGTAGACTCTTAAAAAGCAAAGACATTACTTTGTTATGTCAATACTCCTTTCCCTTTATTATCCTCATTTTAGGGGGACAATGCCATCTATTTCCATGATTTCTAATACTACTTCTGTGGTGATATGGAAGTTATCTGTAACTCTAGCCCTAACCTTGATCCTGTTTTACAAGGACACTTTAAACTGCCAGCTGAGTATATTTGTAAGGAATACTTACTGGTATTTCACATTCCACATGTTATATAGGGAGAACAATTTGGAAGTTGTTTTTAATGATCCAAAGAGACTTGAAGAATATGAATTAAGTCAATGGTAGAAGGAAATGGAAAGAAAAGACTTGATTTGAGATATATTCTGGAGTCAATCTTTAAAATTTAGATGAGTAGAAATATGAGGAAGTAAATAATCATGGATGACATACAAGTTTCTAGTTTAGGAACTTGAGGGGAAGTCTTAACAAAAGAAAAATGGAAGTTTTAGGTGATAGAACAAGTTCTGAAGGGAAGTTCCATTTTAGACATAGTAATTCTGCAATTTGTACAGTACATTCAGGTAGCTATAATTACAATTGGCTATTAAAAATATGAATCTGAATTTAGGGAAACAGGTTAAAGGTACATTTTTAAATGTGGCATTTAAATATCAATTTTTGCTGTCTAAGGATTGTCAAGACAGTTTCTCTAGAAATTTATCTGTAAAATGAGGAGATTATATCTGATAATCTAATAAGGTTTTTTTAAAATTTCAATTATTTTTTTTTTTACTTTTCTTTACTCAACATACAAGTGCCCTTATTGTTTTGTGTTCTCTAATATAACCATTCTCTCTATCTGAAATCTTTTCTCTTCCCTTTTAAAAATATCAACTTATTACTCAGCCTTTAAAAATTTGCTAAATTGGCTCTGTTTCATACCCCTGATCATAATCAATCATTCCTCTGTATCTAGGGCAATATTCCTCGAACAGCCTATTGAACAAATGGAATTAACCTAACCCCGTAGTATTGTTGCATTAGAGTCTTAATTTACAAAATATTAATACTAACTAGGTAATTCACATCAGTAAAGGTTTTGTATAGTTTGGTTTAAATATGGAAAAACTGAGTTTACTTTTTATGTATAAGTACCTGTGATAGAGGGGACAAATGGAGATTTCAACAATTTATTCAGAGCAGCATATAAAGTTCATGAGCCCAGTTTCCATTTGGTCTGTCATTGAGTGGGGCAGGGCATGCTGTGAGATTTGTGAGTCATTCTCATGGCATGTTGTGATGGGGAATGGGGGAGTGAATTTTCTTTCATGTTGTGATTTTAATCATCACCAATTTGAGGTTGTTTTGGAAGAACTTGTGACCGATTATTGAGATTTTGTACATTTTATTGCTAAGACTTGCTGAGCTGCTTTTTCAATCAATGACCTTTAGAATTAAAGAGTTCTATAAAACTCAAAATTGTGGACCTCTGAGGGAATTACTTGCTTATGTCACAAAGTTAACTGAACACATTAACTGAAGACAAAGTGGAGAAAATTTTTCAAAAAGAGCATTAAGCATCACTGATGTGTTAAAAGAAATGCAGGCATTCAAACTAAAATTCAAAATGTGTATTGAGCTAAGGCAACTAAAATTGAGCTAATTCTATGATAATAAATTGTCCCAAACTGACCAGAATCACAGAAAGTAGAAAATTATAGATACTATATAAATGTAAAGTCAAAATTTCTAAACAGATTCATGCATTTCATTGTATATAAAAAGCCTTTCTAATATCTGTGGTTCAGGTGCACACCTCAGAGTGAGAGTATGTACAACATGTGCTTTTTTTCTTATACATTTGGATTCATTTAAGAAGAAAAAGAGGACAAAATATCCCAAAAGCAAGTATATAGAGTCCAGAAGTGTTCTGAGCATTTTAATAATCCAGTACTTCTTTTTGACTAAAAATATATCTGCTTTCATAAACTTTGCAAACTAAGCTTAAGTGTCTCAGAAATATAAAATTGTACTGAAAATATAGCTGAGCTCTTAATGAATACAATTTCCAATGATTATTAAGTAACACATTTGTCACTGAATATTTTCTCAACATCAGCCCATGTCTGGTATAAGCCTGTACCTACAAAATTTTATGTAAATAGTGTCAATTTAATTTTTAAACTTGATTTGTCTGTTGCTACCCAAGAATGTGCACTCTAATAGCTGACACGCTATACCTCACAAAAAGCCAACTGTTGGAGGAACTCATAATACAATATTCTGACTTTGTGACCCACTAATAAAAATCTGTCTCTTGGATATCCCTTTGTTCATGCCACTTTGGGACTTACATTGTTTGGCATGCAGAGCTGATATGCAACTGCTACACACCAGAAGCACCACAGCAGCTATTACAGGTAATATGTCATAGTGCTTTTACTCCAGTTGGCAAAGAATGCAGACCTTACCTTCTGAGCCGCCTGGCTTCCTTAGCATCTCTGAAATAATCCAACAACCAAACGTGTAATTTCTATTGCAATTGGTTAGTGCCCATGCCATACTGGTGGTTAAATATTTTGAATATCATTCTGGTTGGTAGCTATTGCTTCAATGATTCTGTGTATCTCTTTTGCTAACTAAGATCTTTATAAGAACTCAGCCTATACTATATTCATGTTTACAACCTTCCAGAGTCTCAGACTTAGAAGATAATGCTTGTTAAATTAAATTCTTTTAAACTCTTTAAAATAAGAGTTGGATTAATATTTAGATTCTAATTACTGTCTTAGCTCAGAGAGCCTAGAAAAAAAATGAGGCTGATGTGAAGCCCACTTGCCAATGGTTATTAGAGGTGAAGTTCCAGAGTAGCACACACGAGTGAAATGCATAGAAGACGCTACCTTACCTTTCAACTCACAGCTTCACAAGAAAACATGACTAGTTCACTTTAACAAAGAGGATGTGACCAGAGAGAATAGTCCTCAGAATAGTCCATGAACAAGGAGGAAGGGCAAGAATTTCTCATCAGTTTTTTTCCTCTTTTTGTCTCTCACTGATCGTAGTTTTCCCCACTGGGCATTAATTCCCACACACATCTAGATTGTGTTACTACCAACAGCAGACTCTGGGGAAACCAGAGCTCCTGTATAGTAATCAGGTAATACTGGGCTGTCAGAGCAGGTACAGCTTCACCATGCAGAGCCTGATGGACAGGATGCCAAAGTCCAGCTCCATCAAAGCCCAGCTCTTCAAAGGACTCTGAGATAACCAGAGCCATTAGGAAATAAGGCAACAGCAGGAGAGGCCAGGTGGCTCTGATGGGACCAAATCACCGAGGTTCAGGGGCTAAGGAAGTATCTGGAGTAGCATGGAAACGATGACCAGTACAGTTTCTACGAGGTTTTCATTTTGAACACTTAAACTTAAACCACAGCCTAAACAGCACTACCAATACAGTGAGTTGTGAACTATCTAGAGAGGAAGCTTAAAGGGAAACTTTACTTAGGTTCCAATTTTTATCAGTCTGATAGAAGGAAAGAGATTGTCCACTAGCTGAGGAAGAACTTGATTATTTTTTTTTCGATTTCTATGAGTCTGGTCTTCCCGGTATGACTTTATCATTTCTACTATTTTTAAGTAAATGCTGAGAAATATCACAACATCTCTCTCTCTCTCTCTCTCTCTCTTACTCTCTCTGTCAAAGATACTGATGTTCTGACAGAATATCTTGAAAGTGTCTTGAAAGTAAAATATGAATTATTGCTTTGGCAAGAACACTTCTTGACTGCAAGTAACTCATAGTTGACTATTTTTTACTTAAAGATGTAACATCTCTAGAAAATAATCTCTTCTGAAGCAAAAGAAGTTACCTGCAACACCATCTATTTATTGTAGAAAAGATAGGCATGATTTCCAAATTCTTCACATCAAATAATTCTAGGTTGAGAGATTTTAGCTTTAACTCTCCAAGGTATCTGCTTTGATATTCTATTATGGATATAGATGAACCAGTTTTCAAGGATCCACTTGTGTAGATTTAAATGAAAAATTAAGCATTCTTTGTCATTTTGTTTAAATCAAATAGCGTCTTCATTTTCCCTCTGGGCAGGCAATCTACTTAGTTTCACTTCAAAGTAAATTCACAAGCTCATACAGCTCATTCACACAGAAAACATTCACTTTACATAGACTAAAGGATTGGTCAAGGCAATGCAGGGATACCTAGGATTGTATTGAATTAGAATTAAATGTCACTTATGCTGACATATTTAGAATTTAGTTCCACTGTGTCCAATAAAATAGCCAACTCTATCTAATGGTTGATCTAATTGTATTCAAATAAATTTTTATTAAAGCTCTTAATTTTTTAAGCTTCTTCAATTGAAATACTTTAAGCTGCTTCTTGACTAAATTAATTAATAACAAACTCCAATATACAATATTCCTTATTGACTAATAAAACTCAGTTGTTTTGGACATTACAGATCATCAAATTAGTAATTATAATAAAGTGTCTAAAACAAATTTTCTTGGCATTTTGGATTACTTATTAACAGGAATCCTTGGGATTAAATAGAAACAAATGACACAATGACATAATAAAGAAATAAGCATATAATTTTTATATAATGTAAATGCAGATATCAAATGCATATACTGTAGCCATTAGTTTTTATGTTTGGTTTCATAAAGCCACATACATATATTTTAACATAATGAACCAAATGTGATTTATTTATTTTAAAGTTTTTATGTCTTTCTGCAAGTCAATTCACTGTGCTATTATGTCTTTCACTTTTCCATCCTTTTTACTATGAAGTTCTCTAGAGAGCAAAGACTTGGATGTAACATTTTCTGCGAGAGCCCCACAAAACACCATGAATAAGAAGGTACTAAATAAGTACAGTTTTGATATTGGAATAGATGGTGTTAGACATAATACAAGCTAAATATTAATCGCACTACTATACTATTGAGACCATTTCCCCCTAATTAGACTTTTCTTTAAACACCCTAATTGTGCTAGAACATGGAAAAAGCAATGCTTTATACTGACTCTTACAATATTATTGTGAATGAGAAAATCATAGTAATACCAAAGATAATAAAAGCACTTTATCTCTCATATATGAAAGCCCATGATTTGTTTTATTTATTATTATATTTTATATAAAATATTTTATATAATTATATTTTATTTATTTCTAACCATCTTCATCTTATTTTTTGCTTTTAAAGTAATTTTAATTGACATAATGCTTGAACATATTAATAGGGTACAGTGTGATATTTTGATACATGTATGAAATGTGTAATGATCAAATCATGGTAACTAGCATATCCATCACCTCAAGCATTTAGCATTTCTTTGTGTTGGGAACATTCAACATCCACTCTATTGAAAATACACAATAGATTATTGTTAATTATATTCACACTACAGTGCTATAGAACATTAGAACTTATTCTATCTAGCTGTAATTTAGTATTCGTCAACCAACCTATGGTAATCCCTTCGCAACCCTCCCACCCTCCAATAATCACTATTTTACTCTTTACTTCTATAAGATCAACTTTTTTAGCTTCCACATATGAGTGAGAACATGCGATATTTGTCCTTCTGTGCCTGGCTTATTTCACTTAACATAATGTCCTTCGAGCTCATCCATGTTGCCAAGAATGACAGGATTTCATTCTTTTTAAAGTCATCTTAAATCTTTCTCTGAGCTACAGCAGAAAAGGCAACATTTCTAGAGTGACAATTTCTCTTAATTCATTTCATTTGCTTCACTATCACATCAGGTAAATGTAACAGCAATCAAGAGAGAAATATGCACTTCATATTTTTTCATATGAGTTAATTAATTTTAAATAATGTATTCTTCTTCAATGTGTAAAACACTATTCATAATATGCCAAAAAACAAAAGCAAGCCAAACAAAAAACTTGGATGCTCAGCAGAAATGCCATTTCTCTGCTCTATTTTGTCTATATCCTAAATATTTCTGGACAAAGGTAGGAGTAATGAAAAATGAGTGGGTTTGAATGATAAAGCTTTTCAAATGGAAAAGTTTTCACACATATCCTAATGACAATAGTCATCAGAGCAACAAGATACTTTGAATATAATTCAGAAATGTAGAAACAATTCAATATAGAGAATTTAAAAATAATTCTTTCTATTATGATTCATTATTTTTTCCCTTACATTTTTGTACTTGAATACAGGGAAATTCTGGTTAGCTGGAAAATTGACTGTTAAACAATGGGAAGTATTATGTATTGGACCTTTTGACTCTGTAATTAAATTGATTTTCAAATTCCTAGAACAAGACCAACATTTAAGTATGTATATTTCTTAGGCTTTATATTTCTCTCATATTCAAGGAAAGTCTTGGGAAAGTTCACTATTTTGGAAGATGCCAATCTCCAAAATTGTTTTCATGTTGTGGAAACAATTTATTTACATGTTGACTAAGATATAAGCTTGAGATTTTGGTGTACATGGGGTTATAGACAACATATTATTGGAAAAAGAGCTTTAATTTGTAACTGTATGAAATGAAGAGAAGGCATTATATAAACTTAACCTAAATCAAGAGGTGACTAATAAATACAGCTACAAAAATGTAACCTAAAATAGTCATTGTTTTAACATTATTTAATAGCCTTAGTGTTTTCTTTTCTTTAAAAAGTAGACTTTTATAATGTCCTTAAATACGTAAACTGCTTGCAAAGGCTCTATTACTTCAGAATTTCTGTCTCCTTTGGGTTGTCTGACAGACAGTATATGGGAGGAATTTTCAATAGTAGTCACGAATAATATGTAATTTGTATTTTGATTTGATGGTGAATTCGGGGGTCAAAGAAAGCAAGACATTAATGGTCCTGAGGCAGATTTTATACCTGTTCTGGAATTGCAGTTTCTCAGGTCAGGGCTTCATTTCTGCAACCTACTGAATGTGCAAAATTGAGTCTGCTCATCATCTGAGCAAATTCGTTGGGTTGCTCTTGTTAGTGGAATTTACCATTGCCAAAGGTCATGGAGCATCTTTGTAACAAATTTCCGAAGGAATAGCCTGGTGTTTATACCTGGCTGCTCAGCAACCTCAGTTAAGCTTGCATACATCTCCAGGTTATCACAGATCTAGATTGTGTCGGGGAAGATAAAGTATGACACCTAAATATTACTGACTTCACTCATACAATCCCTGAGCTACACCGTTTATTCCTGGGTTTCTTCTGTTTCTCTGGAAATCATTAGTCTTTAACTAACATAACCTTGTTCCTTCTAGGCTATTGTTCAAAGTTTGAGACGTTTCTTTTTGTGCATTATGAATTAAACTTTAAGCTCTTTAGCACACTGTAAATGGTCAATTAAATGTTACTGAAAATTAAGCCATCAGGAATATGGCAGGAGAGCATAGTGTCATATTAGAGCTTCTTGCTTATTTCACGGCTTTATCATTACCGGGGGCGGGGGGAGAATTCCTGAGGTTGAATGCTTGTCACCACACAAGCAATCTTGGAGTGATGTAAAGTCCAGCAAAGTCCCTTTTTATTTTATTGTGTCAAAAAACAAAGTTTTTTTTTCTTCTTTTATCACCAGTTCAACTTTTTTCTCTGCAATGAAACAGAATACATTTTAAATGTCAAACCTATCTTCAGATAGATCTTCACAGATGCTGTTTTAAAAGTTACTATTCACATATCCAAATTTATCTCATGGGATCAAATCCAAAGTATACATTTATATGTGTGTATATGATCTTTTCTCTTTTGTAGTGAAATTAGCTTTAAAAGCTTCTATTTTTTTATACTTTTTTATCCCATCTTATTTTTTTATTTTTTCATTTCAAAATATTATGAGCTTCTAATTTTTGATACATTCAAATTATGTTTGTTTTTCTCTTTTGACATTTACTGCTGAATAGTTTTCCACAACATATCTTGTATTCATTGGTCTGGTGGCAACATTCTATTTGTATTTAAAGTAGTTTGAAGTTCTTTGTCATATCTTCACAAAATGTCTTGTTTTTGTAAGATTTTCATTTTAATTTACATTTTATAGCATTATTATACATTTTGTACATAAACAGTGTTAAAAGAGTATTCACCCTTGGGTCATAAGTTTTTGTTTTTCATTAATATATGGAAAAATATTATCCTTATTTTGATACTTTTCTTTACATCTTCCTATTATGATTTGCTATTTTAATTTTAGCATTATTGAGTGCTATGATATGTTCTTGGTCCTGAGGCTGTAAAAGACCCATTTAAACACACACCCACCCCTTTCTTAGAGTACTAAGATGATGATGAACAGTTGTTAAATAATAATAACGCAATACAAAAAGGCACTCTGATGTAGAAATAAATAAACTACCAAGTTCACATAGACAGAGAAGCAGGTAAGCCATCAGGCAAGTTTTGCAGAACTATTCATGAAATATTATAGTATAGCCAGCATGACAAGAATATGAGAGCTGGGAAGAGAATCACAGGGAGATGAGTATAGAAAAGGAGACTACATGAAGACTTATTAGAAGGATCAACTTCTCAGGAAAATAAAGGAAGTTAATGAAGATTGATATAGCTTTTATCACTTTGAATTTTGGATGTTTGTTTATAATCAATTAAACTGTGATATTTGTTTATAATCAATTAAACGGTGATATTTCAAACCTAGATACTAATGAATATCTGTCGGTATTTTTGGAATTTTGACAAAGTAATTTTTGTGAATGGCAAAGAGTAGTATGTGGCAAATAAGCCTACTGAAAAAAAAATTGAGAGTAGATATCTGAATTCCAGTAAGTATTATGAAAGGAGATTGAGTATACGGTGGCATATCCATTATATTTCTATCATTGGAATTAATTCTGATTAGGTCATACACAATAATTTTAATGTTAAAATAATTAAATTCTATTATAGATATGATTGTGTGTTTGATAAACCTCATATATATTAGTAGAAGGAAATCCACAAATAGGCCTCCATATGCTTAGTTTTACATTCTGTTTAAGAAATTTATACTTGCCATGATTATCGGTAGTTGTCTAACAAAGAAATCAAATGGCAAGACTACATGATGAAACATTAGAACCATACCTCTTTTTTTTCTTCATTCTGTGTAAGTATCAGAGTTGGAAATTAGATAGAGTATGAAGAATTTACTGACTCTTGGTATATAATTACGCCTTAGAAATATATTTATCTGAATGTAGTTTTTATAATTTGAAAAAGAAGTTTAAGGAAACTACAAAGACATATTTGGAACATTAGGTTAAAAATGGGCAATAACAGATGAATACCAATGGTTGATGTTCAGACATTAACAGATGATCAGGGTTATACTGATTATGTGAAAATATATACTAGGAACATTAGAAAACATTAAGGTATATTGTTAATTGATCTCTGGATTTCCTAGAGGACAAAGTAAAGAGGAAAATATATCTCTTTTAGTAGAGTTACAGTGTCAAAAGATTAAAAATATCTCTTTCATTGTTAGAAATTTAGTTGAAATTTAAGCTGATAATATGGGAAAAGTAAGAAACAGAAGTATTGTGGTACCTTAACATGGGCAGAACAGAGAGAAAACTGCACACAACATTTTTGAATCTTTGGAGTTTTGCAAAACTTATGAAAAATAACTATACTTATATAAATAATAAAAGTACTAAAATAAACTGAGAAATTCAGGAAAGTGTGTATGTATATTCTCATACATTTTCATATGTTAACTATGTAGATTTCATATTTATATTAACTAATGAAATAACAGCTGTTATGGTTTTATGTGGAACAGAAAGAGGTATGTAAAATATTTTATATTAAATGTTCTGTCATACCTATCTGTTATAAAGGCATAGGTCTTCCATAA